TTTTTGTTGCTTGCTTATATTTAGAATAAAAACATTGATAAACCAGTTTTGCAATGTCTCCTTGACCATTTGTAAATTTTATTTATATATAAATAAATGCGCTCTTTGTTAATATATTTTCTTGCAGAATGATCAAAGTAAACATTTTGTTCTGAGCTACCCAACATAGTTCAAAAATAAAAAGGCAGAATATTAATATTTTTAAGAGGCAATAAATATCCTAAGTGAACTTCAGTGCTTGAATTCTTCATGAAATCTAGGGCACTTTTATACTATAAATCTGGGTTCCTTAGTAAGAGGATAATATCAAGATCAAGTATGACTGCTTTGCCTGTTTTAGCTGTTTCAACTGCATTTGGGCAGTCAGCTGCTCTTGCAAAAATTTCCACAGCTGATGGAATTGAATTCTCCTTCAAGTTCTCTAGCATGAATACCATACAAAGCTTCAAAGAGGAGGGAGGTGATAGAAATCGATGTGTGGTGAGTTATTGAATGAAAATTCTGCCAAGGGCAGTCATGAGGACCAGTTATCTTGTCCATAGATGCAGTAATGTCTTACCTATCATTGCAAGAATTCGTTAATTTTCCCTGCCTTTCTATTCATAGCATAGTGGTAGGCTGAAGACAAGTTGGAAATTCAAAAATTGGAACAGTCCCCTCCAAAATCTGAAAGCAAATTGACTTCTGTCAATTTGATACCGTAACTCTGTGATGAAAGACATGATCGAAAAAAGGCCTGAACTATTTCCTTGGCAGTGGGCAAAATCATGTTCAAGGGATGAAATAAGCCATTTTTGTGAGAAAAAAAAAATCCACTTTGATTAGTATGGATGCGAAGCTGTGGACCGGACCAAATAAATCAGTAATTAAATGCAGACTTATGCCAAGGATGGAGAGGCATAGGGTTGTAACAGTAATTTGGTCCAGCTGGCTTCTGATGGTGGAACTTAGCCCTTCTGCAGTGCTGCAAAAGGCTACATACCTCTTGATGTCTGCTCACATTTTAATCTACTGAAAGTCTTTTTAACATTTTGTGCAATGTTTTGAACACTCTCCCATGCCTTGCTCTCTGGTTATTGTGACAATGCTGAAAAACTTCTGTCAAATGTGGCAGTATCACTATTTTGCCCTTGTACTTCAATGCCCATCCCTCCACCAAATATAAGAATATATTATCTGTCTCCAATTATTTAAAAGCTGACTTGATTGCTAAGTCAAAGGTCTTGAGAAAAATGCAGTTCCCCCCTCCTAGTAAGACATGGTTGACAAACTTGCAGTGTCATGACATTTCCCAATATTTTTCCCCTTTGTGGAGCTTGAGTAAGCATGGCCTCCACATGATGCATCTGACCCGCAGGCCAACAGTTTGACACCCCTGTTAAGAAAATGGCCCTGAGAGCCACATCAGAAGCATCAGTCTGGATTGGGTTGAGGTGTTGAAGGAGGGGTGGGGCACAAAAAGTTGTTTTAACTCCTTAAATGCTATTTGCTGTGCATCTAGTGAAACAACTGCTTTTTCCAACAGCTGTGTTAGGGGCTTATGTGTGAAGTGTGGGATGTGGGATAAACTTTATGTAAATGTTGGCAAAGCCTAAGAAATTTTGAATGTCCTTTGCTGTGCGGGGAGCACCATTTGCATTTTCTGGGTATCCATTTGAACTCCTTATGTGGAACTGCAATAACTCAAGAAAACTAGCTGTTTCAACTCAAAAGCAATTGTTCTAATTTAGCCAAAAATGGTTTTTGCTCTGTCTATTCACCCTGCACATAGTGGTCATACTGAGATTCACTTTCAGAGTATATCAGGACGTCAACCAGGTGATAGCAATAGCACTTAAGAGTTACATACCACTTCATAGTGTTTTACACCCCTAAGTGGTTTATAGAGTTAGCATGTTGCCCCCCAACAGTCTGGGTCCCCATTTTACTGACTTTGGAAGGATGGAAGGCTGAGTCAATCGTGAGCCAGTCAGAATCGAACTGCTGGCAGAACTGGCCTGCCTGAAATACTATATTCTAACCACTGCATCACCACGGCTCTTAAAGTATCATAAACTTGTCAATCATATCACTTCTTCCTGTCGATCGGCATCAGGTAGGAGAAAGCTGCATAGGAAGGCTTGATGTTAGTTGCCTCTGACAATCAAACTGGCAAAAAATCTGTTCCAAACATGCGTTGATGATAATACAAAGCTGTTAGATTTGGTCTAGAGTCTGTGGAACTCCTTGCCTAATGAGCTCAGCAGCAATCTGGTTATTCAGATCTCATCTAAACTGAGCAATTGGAGCTGCCTTGTTCCAGTCCAGTTCTGTTGTGATTAATTTGAATTCCGCTATATAGTCGGATCGTTCTATTACCCTGTTTAAGCTGATGAATCTGCTGGGTCGCTGCAACTTCTCTTATTGGATCTCCAAAATGGCTCCTGGAATTAAGCATGAAGTTCTAATGTCTGCCCCCACCTATTTGTTATTCAGAAGGCCTGTGGTCCTGATGGAAGTGCTCAATGTTGAAAGTGGCTGGTGGTTTAACTGAGAATACACTACTGCTTTACTGATCTTGCCTTTAACAGTAGCAATAGCACATGGACTTATATACTACTCCATAGCTTTATAGCTCTCTCTGAGCTGATTGCCCCCAAGAATCTGTATCCTCATTTTACTGACCTCAGAAAGATAGAAGGCTGAGTCAAGCTTGAGCTGGTCAGGATTGAACTCCTGGCTGTAGCAGAGTTAGTTTGCAATGTGGTAATCTAATCACTGCACCACCACAGCTTCTTTTTCCTTCTTGTCTATGTATTTAATCTTTTAAATATTTCTGTATTTATAACTGTAATTGTAAGCCATTAAGAGTCTTTTTTCAGAATGAGATGGGGGCATATACAATAAATTATACATGTGTGTGCGTGTATACACACAGACATATACACATACACACATGTATATGTGTGTATATATATGTATGTATACACACATACACACACCGTGTGTGTGTGTGTGTGTGTGTGTGTGTGTGTGTGTGTGTGTGTGTGTTATATGGAAATTTTTCAGAACCAAAACGTTCAAATATCTATAACCATTTCATTTTGGTAATATTGGCCCTGGAACTGTTCCTCACCATCCAAGACCTTTCAGCCTTTCCTAATAGAAAGAGCTTTTTCAAAGTAGAACCGAATTTCCTAGGGAGGGCATGAACTCTTGTTTGCTACATGTGTTCAGTTCTCTATTAAGAATGTTTTAATATGGACAGTGCAGTTATCCCTATTAAATTGTTGACACTCATATTCTAACCCTATGAAGGCATAATTCTTATATTTTAGTTGCACGAAATTCTTTGGATTGGAATATTAGATATACAAAAATAGTAGCCAAATCTGAAATAGATTGAATTCAAAATTATTTCCACCTAAAAAGGCATGTATGAACTTCAACATTCAGTAATTAACTCTATAGTATTACAGTATTTGGGTGTACAGACTTCGGCTTGGGAACCATAAGATACCCACTTTAGGCTTGGAAACCTGACAGATACCCACACAAGGCTCTGGATCCTTGAGGAAGAAACCAAACTATAGGCTTAGGATCCTGAACCAAGAATGCCACCCGTGGCTGGTATTGCACAGCTATCGGGCATGTCCCCTATGGTGATGGGGTTGCTGGTTCAAGTGCCTGAACTGGTAGTAACAATGTCACCAACGCATTATAATAGTAGTAGTGATGTCTATGTAAAACAAACAAGACGAAAAAAATAATAGAATGCATGTAATGTTGTCATAGCAACATCCTCAACTTTTCCCCTATTTTTAGGGCTTTATGTCAGCAATGAAAAATCAACCCTACTTTTTTAGGGGGGGTTGAAACATGCTCTTTGTAATGAGAATGATTTAACAGTTTTCAGAAGGTCTTTTCTTGTAAAAGGGGGCTCAAAATACCATATTTTTGGCATTTTTACAAAAAATATCAACTTTCCACTCAATTTGTAAACCATTGGAAGCAGTAGGAAAATGAAATTTTATATTCGGAAACCTTGTGTTGCTAAGTTATAACACAGTTTCACATTTATCATACCTTTTCTTCAGAGATATAAAAAGCCAAACTTTAACCTTTTTTCGAGCCACAATATTTTCAGCCAACTTTGCTCCAAATTATCTAGATGGAGATTGCTCATAAGACTGTTTTTATTATTTTGTTTAATAGAGCACAACAAATTGCACAAGATAGCCAGGTTTTGTTTCTCTCAACAAAATATTGCTGGAGATATTGTCTCAAAGTTGCTGGAACCTCAGAGTCATATTGTAGAAGGCTGCAGTATGGGGTCAAACAAATGACTATATCTCTGCAAGTATTGTTATCGGCAAATGTAACACTTTACCAATGTTCATTGGGGACATGGGTGCATGTTTACACCAAATTTAATTGAAATCCATGATGGTCGAGTGGGGCACTTTTCTGAAAACAAACCACTTGACATGGAATGACCCCTAAGGCTTGAGTGCAAAATTAATTAATTAAATATTGCCACCTATTCATCCATGGCAACTTGAGGAGGCTTATACAATATAAAACCATATTTAAAATAAAAAAAAACGCAATAAAAATTAACAAAAAGAATAAAATTAATAAAGTACAATAGAACATAATCTGGGGAAAAAACCCCTCCAACTCCCACCCACATTAGCCATTTGATGGTCTCCATCACGTTCTGGGTTCCACAGGCCCGCTGGCAAAACCAGGTCTTCAGTGCCTTCTGAAAGAGTGCTAGAATGGCTAGTGGGGGCCATTCTAATATCTGGGGGAATGATATTCCAGAGAGAGGGAGCTACCACGGAGAAGGCCTTTCATCTGAGATCATCCAAAAGTGTGACCAATGCGGCTTCTGTCCCAAATCCAGGCCAAAATCCTGACTGGTAGGGGTCAAGATAATCCTTCATCCAGAAACCTCTGGAGCTGCTGCGTGACCACCTTCTCAACAACCTTCCCCCAAAATGGAAGATTGGAGACAGGCTGGAAATTATCCAACTGGGTGGAGCCCAGTGATAGTTTCTTAAGAGTGGACCACAGCCTCCTTAAAGTGCTGGGGCACCATCCCCTCCTACAGAGAAGTTTTGACCTATAAAGTACTTTATTATTTGGCTATGGGGTTGCCTATTTCAGACAGAACTTACCTGTTCTGAAAGGATATTTTGAGCGTCTTACCCCCCCCCCCCCAACAGGTGAGATAAGAGTGGGGTTTGAAGTTCATTTTTTTCTAGCTCACCTCTGGTATTATAGAACTTACCTCAATATTCAAATGATGTCCTCCCTAACATTTTTGGGAAAATTGTCAAAAGTTGTTTTGTTGGGAACATGTTTTTGTGGTTTTCTATTAGTAACCTGCAAGGACTTTTTGTGAAGCTAGCAATATAGAAATACCATAAATTAAGACAGCCAATTAGAGCAGAAATTAGAAGTGGGGTCCTCCAGATGCTACTAGATTTCAAAACTTCTCACCACATTGGCCATGCTGGCTGTGGCTAATAACTTTTGTTAACAAAAGGTGTGTGCTTGAAGGATGTGAAGTATCTATATAATTAACTGCACATAAAAATAAAAAGTTCAATGATGAATGAATTCCAGTTGTAATTACTGATGCATCTTCCAGACGTTTCCAAGTTTTGTACCATTATCAGTTGATCTGTTGCAACAAGCCTGAAGTTTAGAACATAAATTATATTGGTTTCCAGCAAAAGTACGGAGTACCTTAAGCACCCAGAGCCAGACAATCATGCATTTGCGCTTGTATAACAGATTCCGACCGTCACGAACAGCGAAAAGGTTGCAGTGGGACGCAATCCCGCATGTTGGATTTACTTAAGTGGTAATCATACAGAGAGAAAAGATTGCAATCTCCTGCTCCGGACTTGATCTACACGAACGACGGATATTTGTGCCTGAAGCTATTTTGATTGCTTCCCGCCAACTACATCCATAACAAATGCGAAAGCAGACGAAAAAAGATAGCTATTTCTTGTGGGGAACAGGTTCAGTTCTAATCTTGGAGCATTCTTCCCAGATTAATATTGAAAAGGCTTACTCCTCCTCGTTCAGTCCGTTCCGAAAGAAATCCACTTAGATGACGGAAACCAGCGACCGCGTTCTTCCATCGAGCGCTAATGACCAGGAAAGAGACCCGTCTCGGAATTTATATCACAGAATTGGGAACAGAATGAAGCAGTAGTCGCCAAGGCGACCAAGCTCCGCCTTCGGTCATGCCTTTCTCTCCTCTCTTTTCAGCACGGATTCCCGCCTGGCATGGGCGGGACTCTTGTGGAGTGATTGACAGTTGCTATAGTAACAGGCTCTTCTCGTCGCCATTTTGTCAGTTGGGCTTTTTTAAAAATAATTTTTCTTCCCGCCCGAATTATAACTTTACGTGGATTATTTTTCTTTCGGATTTCGGTGGCGGAGGGGTACCTTTCCTTTGGACAGTTGCACCGGAACGAAGCGGGACGACTCCGGGTGCGCGCGTGTGCGGTTTGAAGTGATCCGAAGCGCAGTTCCTGAGAAGCCGGCTCGGCGGCGGCGCTCAGAAGGGGGAGGAGAGCAGGCGGCTGGCTGGCTGGCAGCAAGCAGGCAGGGAGGGGGCGCGAGTGAGTTCCCGGGGGCTCTGTTCGGCGCTGCGCCGCGCTCCCCTCTCGCCCGTGCTGCTCTGACTCCGCTCTCCCTGGCCTGGGCTCAAGCAGCAGCTGAATTCACCACCACCGAGCTCTGCCCGTACCCCGCTGCCGATCGCTGCGCAGGTTTGGAACGCGCGCCATTTTGTGAGCGATAGAAAATCTGCCCGGCCAGGAAACGCCGCGGATCCGCCCGCCGGGCCGGGCTGCCCTCCTCCAGGAGAGGGAGGTGCACGATTGGCTCCGCTTCGGGGCCAAGGCCCTGCTCCCTTTTTGCACGGGGACCGAGCGTGTCGGCCGAAGTGATCCAAGCCGGGTGGGAAAGACTGCAGAGAGGCTGCTGGGTTGGGCCGCTGGCTGAGGAGGGTAATGAACTGAACCCACCCGCCAGTGCCGCCACTCACTCCCCTCCTGAATCCCGAGACAGGAGGGAGGCCTTGGTCAGCACTGGACAACTGCGGCAGCCCGGACAGTAACCAGAGGTGGCCACCGCCCCGATATACGGTAAGTGGTAGGGCCTCTAGCAGTGGGCCGCCGGCTCAATGGCATTGGGAGAGAGGGGCCGCTGCCATCTTGAAGAGGGAGCCTGGGCCGTTTCAGTGGTTAGGCAAACGAGGAGGCCGACCTAGCGGAGGGAAAAGCAGACACCGGTTTCTTGTACCCTTTTATTCCCGGTTAGCTTTGCAGGGAAGTTCTGTTCCAAGTTGTGAAGGTGAGGCTGAGGCCTTTCCCCACCTGGGTAATGGATTGGTTCTGGTAACTCGGCGTTGCTCTTACCTGGCCTGAGGTGGAGGAGGAGGAAGTTCTGCTCTTTCCGCAACCTCTCGGGCAGGTAGGCAGAAAAATCAGCAGGTTTGAATTAGCACCTGTTATAAGAAGAGACGAATGTAGGGACTACTAGTCTGTTAACCTCCAGGTACTGGTATAATCACGGCAAGTCTTCTATTTTTATTCTAGGGTCATTGCAGTATATACATATTGTAGAGTCTTGTCACGGGAAGGTCTTAATTTTAATATAAAAAGAACTAAAAATAAAGGAGATTTAGTATCAATATCAGCTAAAAAGAGAATTTCACTAGAATAAATGCATTCAGTTGATTTCTAAAATACATTTTATCTTGAACTACACCTACTCAGAGATAAGCATTGATTTCTACAGAATTCTGTAATAAGACTGGACATTCCAGTCAAATCAGATTATTTCTCCATGGAGACTAGGTTATTTATTATACTTCCATTAACTTACCAGAAAACAAAATATACTTTTATCTTCTGTAAACTATGAATCAATACTCCATGGTTTTGCCTAATTACATATACTGTAGTATATACTGTTTAACTACACATATTGTTTTATGTAAATTCTATCCCTGGATTCCACATAAGCAGAAACCATTGAACTCATTAAGGATACACTTATCAAGGAGCAAATCTTGTTGAAATGAATAATCCTTACACATAGGACTTGGATATATCTTGATTTCCAAATCAATTAATCAATTCTTGGATTAGAACAAAAATTGAACCTCTTCCTGTGTAACTTCATAATAACTGATTAGAACTATGGGAGAGCAGTAAAGAGAATTGATTAGGCCATGTAAAAAAGATTCAATCTCAGTGCCAAACAGTTGTATGTGTATAGTTGTTTTCATTCTGAATAATGTGCTAAAATAAGTTACTGTAGGACAACAATCATTTTATGACATCCTATATTTGCTTGAAAATAAAATTTTAAGATGGGTACATTAGATTGTATTTCTGGTTACAAAGAAGTCTAGGAAGCGGTGTTCTTCTGAACCATATTGTTGGAAAATGTATGTTTTAGTGCAGTATATGTCTTAAGGTATAAAATTCTGTGCATTTCAATATTTTAAGTCTAAAGTTGACTTAATTATACTTCTAAAGTGCAATGTCAGTGGCATGCACTATTGAAAATTACAGGTATTGTAATTCTCAAGATCAGTCCCACTAGTTTAGAGATTGGTTCATCTTGCAGTTCTAAATATAGTATATATTAGATTTTTAATAAAATTATGAGTTTGTTCAACTTAGGCTTACTTGGGTTTGAACTAAATTTATACATTCTTAAAAATATTTGTTTTACAGAAATGTAAGAAGAAAAAAGCATTCGCTGCTAGAATGTAGAATCAGTGTACTATAATAGTTTTATGTATGCTTACTTAGCAATATACGGTATCAAACTTTTAAAATCATTTTTCTTCTTAGTATTTGGAATAAGAGTCTAACTTCCCAATCTTGTCTGCATGTATTAGAAGTAAATCAGTTGAGCTTAGTGTACTAACTAAAATAAAATATAGAATTGAATTTATAGTATAAAACCTTGACTATCTTCCTTTGGAGTAGACTGTTCTATTTTATCAGACAAAAATGCTTTAATATTGTTTTGAAGTATGTAAAACAAGGCATGTTACAATGAAATGTAATAACTCAGTTTCTTTTAGATTTCCTAACCAATTTTGCAAGAGGTTGCTTTCAAGTTGGTTATTTATTATTATATGTATAATGAATAACTTGCATATTAAAAGATTTGTTGCCTATATCTTACTTTATTCAATTATTTTATTAATGTAAATCATCTGGAGTCCAATGATAAGAGATTTTATTAAATTTTAGCCCTGTCACTTTATGCAAATATAATAAACATTTTTTATCTTTGAAATGTATGATACATAACTATTGAGATATGTATAGGAGTAAGTTAAGTCTTCAGAGGTAAAAGTTACTTTTCTAATTCAGAATATAGATTAAATGCAGAACATAGATAGACATTGATGCTATATTGTAGCTACCTGCACTTGTTTAAAAGTGCTCTTAATTGTAGAGTGATGAAATACAGAAGAAATCATTTTTATATGGGAGATGTTCAAATAAAATGTTTGTGTGTCTATGATATGTACATATGTGTGTATGTACATATACATATCAGGAATTTGAATTATTACAAATTTATACAAGATGGAATTTTGACAAGTTATTAATAGGCTAACCTAATACATTTTTATTCTGAAAGTAAGTCTTCATGAATTCACTGGTCTCTTTCCTCTCCCTATAAGTGCATGATTTTTACTGAATGTTAACTACACAATTCTGTATTTGTCTTTGAAGAAGTGTTTATTTGTAATCAAGTTTATTTTCTAGTAAATTTGTAATGTTGCATCCACACAAGGCAATCCTAAAATTTATGTTGGAGTGCTCGAATTTGGAGGAATCTAGCTTTTATAGTTGAATTTTCATATTTGAGATTGAACCTGTTTCTCTAATAACTTACAGGAGAAATCAGACAATTCTGGGAAGTGTAAAACTGCAATCTAAATACTATTTTTAAAATACTTATAATAATTAAATGGCTACTACTCTTGTATTACTTTCAAAACATAACCTTGACACTTGATAATAGGCATGATGCGGATGGTGGCTTTTATATTGCTTATTTATATTCTTCTGGTTCTTTTAAAATATATAGTCAGATAAAGTTTCTTTTATTTAATTTGACATTAAATAGGAAAATATGAGGCAATTAAATAATTTAGTTAATTTTCCTATTTTAATTTTTGCATGATTACTACTCTATTTAGAAATATTTTCTTTAATATGGAAGAGTGCTATAGCTAGTGAACAGGATAGATTGCAAAATTTATGCATCGCAATTTAAAATTCTGTATAAATCTAGTTTACCGTAAACTAAATTGAATAGATTTTATTGTCTTTCTGGAGAATGAATTATGGCAGGTTATTTATTTAATGTATTTGTTTATATCCTGCCTTTATTATTTTTACAAATAACTGAAGACAGTGAATATATCCAACACTTCTTTTTATTACCTCCTATTAATTAATGGATATAGGGTTGCAACCTTAATTTTAAAATTTGGAATACTTTGTTTAGTATAATTATTTGTAAATAAACCATATGAAAATTTGAAAACTCAGTTTTGTAATGCTGATTCTAAAAGGGGTAAATTATTTTTTTACAAATACTTTTCAAGTGGTGTAGGAAAATAAGTTTGTTGAACAAAATATTTCTTGTTATCTGATAGAGTCATATTTTAAATTCTGAATTTTGAAAACTGGGTATAATAATTACTGTTAGAATTCTGTAAAACAAATCAAGATCACTAGAGAACCAATTTCACTTTTAATGTATTGCTGGTATGCGTGTGTGTTTGTGTGTGTATGTTTGTATGTATATGTTCACTAAAAGTTTCAAATAAAATTATATTTTTTGTAAAGTCAGATTATTTTTGTATTGGGTTGGAGCCAGACTAAAGTCCCATGTATTATTTCATTTAAGTAATAACTTATTTGTTCTGAGGATTTCAGAATAGGCAAAGTAAGCTAATAGGCAGAGCAATTGTTTCTGGTCCCAGGAATGAAAAGACTTCCATCATCAATAGAGGAGCATCCCTGGTGTACCTCATTCTGCCTTGCTATACTTTTAAACTAGCTTCAAGCCTTTGCTTCAGAAGTGCTATATTGCCTTATAACTGCAGGTAGCCCTCAACTTATAAGCATTCATTTAGTGACTGTTCAAAATTACAAGAACACCGAAAAAAGTGACTTATGACTGGTTTTCATACCTACATCTGTTGTAGCATTCCTATGGTCATGCGATCAAAATTCAGATGTTTGGCAAGTTTTTATGACGGTGTCAGTGTCTGGTGTCCATTTGATCACCTTTTGCAACCTTCTGACCACCAAAGTCAATAGGGAAGTCAGTTTCATTTAACTGTGTATTAACTGCAGTGATTCACTTAACAACTGTGGCAAGAAGGGTTCTATAAAATGGGGTAAAACTTAATCTTGTTTAGCAACAAAAAGTTTTGGCTTAATTGTTGTAAGTTGAGGACTACCTGGAGTAATAAAGTCTTAGTGAAGATTGTACGTTATGTAAATTCAACTGTAATAATGCTAGTTGAGGGAGACAGTCTTTGAGCTTGAGCAGAGATTCTTAAAAAGAATTTCCTTGTATCATAAGGTCTTTACAAGACCTTATGCGGTTGAATTTGAAAAACTTCAAATTTGGACCATTATGTTTGAAAGGACATTATATTGCAGAAAAGGGTCAGGCGCAACAAAGTGCAGTATGTTCCAATAGTATCTGCTATATTTGATTCAATAGTTTTGGCTACTATGCCTAGTATATATTATTAGTATAAAGTATTAACTATTAGTAATAGTTAAAAATATAAGAGAATAGATTGGAAAATAAAATTAAATCCTATAATATTATTTTGATCAATTAAATTTTGAATAAGTAACATAGAAAAGAGAAAATGTCAGCTTTTCTCTAACAGATAGATGTTCAACACCTTAGTCCTAAAAGCATTTTCTTGTAATCAAATCTGTAGCTTTTATCCTGTGGAGATTTTATTTGAAGTCTCTATAAAGAACTCTGTTGAACAGTGTTTCCCAAACTTTGTTCAGAGTAGAGTTCCACAAGAATTGAATAATTGTATGAAAAAAAATCATTGGTTATGTGGCAT